AGTTCTGAGGAAGGGTCACCAGACCCGAAACGTTAACTCTGTTTTCTCCTTCACAGATGCTGCCAGACCTGCTGAGCTTTTCCAGCAACTTTGTTTTTGTTCATTCTTCTTATTCTTGTCAGCATCCAGACGTTGAAAATACGAATTAAAAAAGGACCTGTATTCTCATAGAGATGTCAGTAAGCCAGAACAAACACACTTTCTATCCATAAAAGATGCAAACCCCTGCTAAACTAAGCCATTACTTAATCTTGCAGCCCAGCCAGACAGTTGAATGGGTGGTATAGAGGTGGGCTGTGGGGGCTCTGTGGAGCAGAGAAGAATAGAGGCAAAGTAGAAAAGGACTAGGAAGTTAACAACCTAAAACCACTTTCTCCTCTCTTACCTCCATGGCTACCTCTGAACTGCCTCTGCAGGAAATGGGTCTGACTCCATTTTCTGTTCCTACCTTCCAGGAGCAAAAATATAGGGTGGAGTCTTTTTAAGGAGATGGATCTGTGAGCTGGGAAAGATCCTGACTAGAGCTCCCTGTGAGTGAAAATCCAGTCATGTCTTCATTTTCAAAGCCAAGGATTCCACTTGCTTTTATTATTGCCTTGTCCTGTTACCTTCAGAGATTTGTATCTGTGAATTCTTGTGTTTCTGTATTCCTTAACTCTCTTTAAAATGTATACTGTTTAGGTCCCTTTCTTTATTCTTCCCTCTAAAATGCATAAATTCATAATTCTGTGCAATAACTTTAACCTGCCACGTGTTTAATCATTTCTGTTTGCCCTCGATTGTGGGTATCCTTGACAAGGTCAGCATTATACCATTCCTGATTTATCCTTGAGAAGATGGTGGTGAATTACGGAAATTTTACAAACACAAAGGTTAGTTGCAACTGAATAGCTTGATAGGCCATTTTAAAAGCCAATTATGAGTCAACCACATTGCTGTGGATCTGGAGTCAAGAATAGGTCAGACTGGGCAAGGATGGCAGATTCCCTAAAATACATTAGTGAAGCAACTTGGTTTATACAACAGTCTAGTAGTTGCATAATCATCAATATTGAAACATTCCATTTTTATAAATTCCAGATTTGTTTAGTTAACTGAAATTAAATTCCCCAGCTGCCTTCATGTGGTTCAAATTTAGGTCTCCAGGACATTAATAGAGGCCTTTGGATTCTTTATCCAGTAACAAGGCTACTGTGAAACAGTGCCTAGCTACATACTACTGAGGTCTGTGCTCACAGATAACTGTATCTCCTAGTTTTGTGTTACTAGCAAATTGAAATGTCTCCTATTCCCACATCCATGTCACTAATATAAATGGATGTGCTGTAAATACAACCATTGAGTTGTTAGTTATTAAGTCAATTTCTACAATTTATTTTGCTAAATTTAACATTGTTTTTCTCCTGTGAAATTAGAAACTTGAATCTTTGATCTTTTTGCAGCTGCAGAACTCAGTGAGGAGACTTTTGCTACATTACTTTTGATATCTAAACTTATGAAGGTGAGTTTGAGGTATATTGATATACAATGGTAACAATTTTAGAAAATCACTTTAAAATTAGTTGTTGATAGGAGCAGAAGTAGAATTTTCTGAAGTTGTCTGACGAAATTGAAATAACATAACTTCCAACCTGGCCACCCCACTAAAACTAACTCTTCATTTAAAACCAATATTAGGTACAGACCTTGTCCCTTTTTTTAGCCAACATTTCCTGGAAAATTAGCATAGTATTAGAGTGACAGATAAAATATTGCTTTATGCACTGGAGGTAGAATGAAAATTTGAAAGTTGTCTGCCCAGAATGCAAAGAACAAATTAAAGGCGCTTCTGGTGCAGTGGTAGTGTCCATGCCTCTGAGCCAGGAGGCCCAGGTTCAAGTCACATCTGTTCCAGAAGTATGTCATCATGTATCAGACTAGGTCACTTAAAAACATCAATGAAGAACAAATTTAATGAATTGCAGGTAGAAAGGGTACATGCCCTGATCGGTATCACTGAGACATGCTTGCAAGATAGTCAGTCCTGTGAATGTTTAAGGTTAAAAGATGTACAGGGAAATGATAAGATTATTCCAATTTTGAGAAAAGATATAACTCGGGGAGAGCAGGCAACAGAGATTTCACTGATAAAATCAAGAAAGAGAAGATTTAATTCTGACTTGTGTGAGTTGTTTACTGGACATCAGTAGACACTGTGACATGACTGAATGTATAATATGGAGATTGGATGAGCATGTAACAAAAACAAAATGATGTTCATGAGAAATTTAACTTTCATAGATTGAGATAAGCGGATAGGTTCATGTCAGAATGATGATGATCTTTCTTGAATCGTTCGAGATAATTTCACGTAACAACGTGTCCTAATATGAGAGCGAGCCATAATTAGGTTTGGTACTGAATAATGAGCTAGATTTAATTATCAGTCTTGCATAAGAACGTAGGAGCTGGATTGGGCCATTTAGGTCTTTTGAGCCTTTATGGAATGAAATACGCCCCTATTTAAGAAAAAGCCACATAATAAATCAGAAAGCCTAGTCTCTATTATTAAATTACCAGTGTCTCTAAATAAGGATAAAGAAACCAAACATCCTGAACATTGTAGAGTTGATTGATAAGAAACAGTATGCATTTGTAAAGCATAGCTCGTGCCTGATGAGCTTGATTGAATTGTTATGAAGAAGGGAATATGTGCATGTTATTTTCATAGGCTTCCAGACAGCATTTGATAAATTTCCTTACAGAAGACTGTTAACTGAAGTTGAAAGTCGTGGAAGTGAAGGCACTTTGTTCAAAAAGGGCAAAGAAATGCAGATACTGAAAATCAGAAACAGAAACAGAAAATACTGGGAAAACTCAACAGGTCTGGTAGCATCAGTGGAGAGAAAGCAGAGTCAACATTTTGGGTCCAGTGACTCTTCTTCAGAGCTTAAGAATTATCTTAAAAAGGGTCACTGGACACAAGGCTTATTGTTCACCTAGGTAGGAAATTGGCTCAGTAGCAAGATCCAGAGGATAGGGATAATAGACAGGTAATCTAATTGGGAAGGTGTGACAAATGAAGCCCACGAGTATCTGGATTGGAAGCACAACAACACACCATAAGTAATGGGAGAGAACACTACATATCCAAGTTTGCAGAAGGTATTCACGTGCATTCTTTAGAAGGAAGTATGAAATTACTAGGAGATATTAATAGATCAAGTGAATGGACAAGACTGTTACAAATGGCTTTCAGTATATGTAAGTGTGAAAGGGTATCAGATTTAAATATAAAGAAGGACAGATCAGGGTACCTTTGAAATGGTGGAAAGCTAGAAGTAATGGAGGTCCAAAGAGATTTTGGTCCGTGTACATAATCTGTAAAATGTTGTGTACAGACACAAAAGAAATCAAAAGATCTAATGGCATGATGGACCTTATATCTCCTGGACAGGAATACAACGGAGTACAAATTAGAATGCAGCTGTACAAAACCTTGGCTAGACCCAACCTGGGCATTCAGCTTTGGGAGCCAAACCTTAGAACAGATATAATTACCCGCATCGTACCTGAACTTCAAGGATTAAGGAAAGGTTTCATTAATTACTGAAGTGTTTCTTGAGAATGATAGAACAGGTTTGAGGTGTTAAATGTTCCTGTTCCTGTTCCAATGTAACATAGTATCCAAGGAGCTGATTACTTTTATGAATTCCAAGCTGCGTTTATAACCGTGTAAAGGTTCTTTTTCATTTTTACAATCATCAATTATGTGTCTCAAATGTGCTGTTTCTTTGTATGCATAATGCTAAAGCCATCCCATATCCCAATTTCTGAAAATATGAACTCATATATTTTTGTGGTTTGCTTATTCCGGTTGTACAGTTGTGGTGTTGGCAAATGTGATGGAATGTTCTAATCTGCTAATCGAATTCTTGACATTTTAAAAATATTAATCATTTGTGACAAAAAACAAGACTGATCAGGTTCTCAATGCACAGTTGACAGGATAGCAGTTGGAAGTAATAGAAAGTCTTCCTGAACACCTCCTACTATTTTCCTTTATAAATAATCTGGCAGTGATGAGCAAATTTAATACAGACTAGCTATCGTGATGTGGAATATTTTTGGTCTGCATGGCTTTGCACCATAAGGTTCATTTAACCTGTATGGAGCCCATTTTGAAGATGCTGAAGACAATCTGAATTTTTTTATTTTAGAAAAGCCTTTTACGCTTCTGCCAGTTCTTGCCATGTGAGAATCCCTTCCATGTTTAAAAGGGTTCAGTTGTACTAATAAATTTAAAGAGCTCAGTTTCTTGTCCTGTTTTATCTTTGCTTTTACTGTACTAAATGGAACTTATTTGATGTTCAGGTGTCACTGGATACACTTCACATGAAAGCTGTTGACCACGTTCTTGCAAAAACGCTGAAACCTAAAGTACTTAGGCTGACAAAAGAAGGATGTGTTTCCCAGATAACAAAGGAAATTGCTGAGACTGTGCACAATATACAGTCATACATTTTAGCAATTACAAATCCTGAATGGGCTACTGCTAGTTCGCATCGGGTTGCTCAGGAACTTCCAACTGGTAAATTGTACATTTAGTCATGAATTCCGTATAAAATTGATGGAATTGGCTTGCGAACACACTGTGTTGATTCAGTTTGTCATACATAATAAGATAAACAGGGGAATTATTCTTTGTTGTAGCAACTGATGGTTTAGACAAAACATATTTAAAATACTGGCCTTTGCATACTAATAAAGATCATACTTGACGTAGTCTACCTCATTTCTGCTGTTTCTATTTGCCCTGTTTGTCCAACAGAAAATGTCATATTGAGTCACTCAAGGCAAAAAATCTATTGTGTAACGTTCAATGTTTTTTAAAGTGAGATTATTAATAACTAGTAATATCTAATAACTAATAATATCTCAAAGTTTATTTTGAATATTTTCTCAGGTATGCTTGTTTGCTTTCTGCAATACATTCACAGACCTTCTAGGGATCTGGTTTTGAACAACTATTTTGATTAAAGTTGTATGCTGTTTGTTGGCAGGACCAGAGAAAATCCAAGCCTTGAAATTTTGTCTGCAAATGTCTGAAAACTGGTTAAAATCTACAGCACCAATGGTATAATTAAAGTATTTGTCTTGATTTCTGTCATTTTATAAAGGAAACAAAAATTTATTTGTGTTCTTGTAATATTCAGGATATTTAGGGAAATAATGTATTTAAAATCTATGCTAGACTTAAATTATGGGAGTTATTAACACTTCTTGCTAAAATCAGCTGCTGTACAGATTTTATGCAATGCTAAAAGGTAATGCATAATTATTTATGAGTGTTTTTACTCATTGCAACTTCAGTTAGGCAATTACTCAGCAGCTTGTTAAAAAGAATCAGAAGATTCTCTAACCCCCTGCCACAAAGAAAACTTGGGGTGTAGTTAGGGAAACTGAGGAGAGATTTGATATGAACGTACAAGGTTACGATGGGTTTATGTAAGTGGAAGAAGAAAAGCTATTTCTATCAGTAGGTAGTACAAAGGCATGGAACACAAATTTCAGTTTTTGGGTAAGAGATGAAGGGGAGGAAGGTAAGGAAGGCATTTTCTATGTAATCAGTGACAATGGTCTGGAATTTGCTGTCCGCAAAGGTGGTGGAAATGGAATGGAAATAATCAATGGTTACAAAGGAAATTAGGTGCTATTCAAAGGTGATAAACCCGCAGGTTTACTGGGATTGAGCAGGGAGTGGGATTGACTGAATTGCACAGAAAGTTGGATCGGACAAGTGGCAGTCTCCTATGCCATAAAAGACTAAAATCATTTATGTTGTTGAGGAATGCCATTGCATAATTAGCGTGTGTTATTAGTTTGAGCATTAACATTTAGAATCAAAGGTTATCACACAAATTAAAAGCGCATGGTGTAAGGTAGCGCTTCCCAAAGGTTTTTATGCCATGATTGAGGCTGAGGCTGGAGGAAGGTGGGTGTGGTACGCGGTTGTAGTGCTGTGTGAGAGTAAGAACATGTTAGAGTGAGAGTATACCTATTTTAACTTGGTCAAAGCTCTATGTTGACCAGTACTGCCTCTGTGGGGTCCCACTTTGGGAAGTCTTGGTACAAGGATTAACCAATAAACACAAGTTAGGGATTCGTTAGCTAAAAGGAAGCAGAGAACAGTGTTAGCACTAGTGGAGTGCCACAGGTTCAGTGCTGGGGTCTCAATCTATTTCAATAACTTGATGGATGGTAGCTAAATTTACTGATGCCACCAAGATGGGTAAGAAAATGCAAGTTGTCAAGGGGCGGTAGAGAGTTTACAGACAGACATAGACAAGTTAAGGGAGTGGAGAAACAACTGGCACATGCTGTATAATGTGGAAAACTGACTTGTCCGCTTTGGCAGGAAGAATAGTTTTACCATTTAAATAGGGAGAGATTGCACAATTCAAATGTGTGTTTCCTGGTACATATATCTTACAAAGTTAGTTTGCAAGTACAGCAAATAATTAGGAACGTAAATTGAAATTTGACATCTTTTATAAGGGGAATTGCATATAAACATGGGGTGTTGGAGTACTGTATACAGTTTCTGTCTCTATTTGGAAAAAGTATCTAATTGCACTTGAAGCAGCTCAGGGAGTGTTCACTGAATTCATTTCCTGGATGAAGGGCTTATCTTGTGAAGAAAGGTTGATTCGTTTAGGCTTTTACCCCGCAGAGTTAGAAAGATGAGAGATCTTATTAAAACATACAAGATCCTGAGGGACTTTTACCAAGTATAGTTCATGAGAGGATATTTCCCTAGTAGGAAGTAAGAATAAGGAGTCTCCATTTTAAGACAAAGATGAGGAGAAATCTTTTCTATGAGGGTTGGTTGTCTAAGGAATTCTCTTTTCCAGAAGATAGTGGTGGCTGGATCATTAAATTTATTCAAGGCTAAGTTGGATTTTTGATAGTAAAAGGAATCAAGGGTTATGGAGGGTAGACGGGAAAGTGAAGTTTAAGACCACAACCAGATCAGCCATGATCATATTTCATGTCAGTGGGCTGAATGGCTTACTCGTGCTCTTAAGTCCTAATAATTCTATTTCTCAGTTTTTTTTTCTATCCTAACCTTTCCTGTTGAATGTGTTACTTTGATTCCATGCCAGTAACATATCCATATTGCACCGGCCTACTAGAGCAGCAGATGCACTTTCCAGGAGCAAGCACAACTTACACCAGTTATGTATGAATCTTTATGTTGTGCATTCATAATAGAAATCAGTTTTGAATTTTGGCTTGGGCAAGTAGATCAGAAGTAGCAAATGTGAATCAGTACACATTCTTCCCAGAGTTAATGTATAGTGTTCTATTAATTTCTGCTTGTTAAAATGCTGAAACAGAGTCAAGCTTGGTGCTGCAGTGTGGAGCTGGAGGAATACAGAAGGCCAGGCAGCATCAGTGGAGCAGGAAAGTTGACATTTCAGGTCTGGACTCCTCTGATGCTGCCTGGCCTCCTGTGTTCCTCCAGCTCCACGCTGTGTTATCTCTGACTCCAGCATCTGCAGTTCTTGCTTTCTCCAAACTTGGTGCTGAAATGGTTTGCATATGTTAGCTACTCTTCCTGTCTTGCAATGTAGCTTTTCAGAAAGCTCTATATTGCTCTTCTTACTGATGGATATTAAGCTGAATTTAAGGCATGTTACAGTAAAGTAACACTATGGGCTTAATTTAGCACTCCCAGAATGGATTTGTGTACATTGAGAGCACCATTTGGAAAAGAGGGCTAAGTTGTTTATAGCCGTAACTCCAACTTACTAGCATAGTGTTCCACTCACTCTGCTGAATTATCCCTCATAAAATATAGATATTTATGTAATTACAATTATAACCAGAACATTTTTTTTTTGTTTATTTTAATAACTCGTTTGTAATACAAATATTTTAAACTTTTAGGAAAAAGCCCACCAAAAAGCCGAGGATTCGCTGAACAAATTGCGAGTAGAATTTGAGAATTCAGCCACAGCAAATTTGCTGAGAATCCACAACTTAAACAGCCCTGAGTATCTGAAATTAATTAAACTGCCAGCTAAATTGATTTGTTCATTGTATGAACACAGCAGTATTGAACACCGGTTAAAGCACCCAACTGCCAAGGACTATCCAGGTAAGTTTTTTTTGTTTTTGTGAAAAAAACTATTCCTCATTGTATATCAACATTCTTTAAAGAATCAGAATTTGTCTTAATGTGTGGCTGTCTGAGCTTTTCAGTGCAAATTGCCTTCTGATAGTTTGATGCAAGGAAACAGGTTTGCTACAAAACCACCCAGCTTGTTTAGTATTACTATCTAGATTCAACAGTATTGTGGGAACACCATCACCAGAAGGCCTGCGGAAATTTCATAAGGTGGTAGCCCTCCCACTCCCTTCCCACATGAGGGCAACAAATGTCTCATTAGTAATGTCACCTGTTTAAGTATTAAAAATACAGCCATCACCTACACCAACCTCCCTCAAACCCTGCAGACTGCAGCCTCTAAGTTTTAGACTTTTCCAGCCTGTATCCAATTTCCTGCAGTCCTTTTGTGTTATCTATCCAGGAGCAGTTCTGAAAATTTGCTTTTGACCTCCTAGGATATGCCTAAACTCCTGCCCAAATTCAGTCATGTCACCTCTCCCTGTCCAAAATGGGCATTGACACCTATATACTTATTCCAAGTTGTGTGTTTGATGGCTCTCATATATTACACATAAGGCAATTATGGCAGTGGTCGAAGTCTGAAAACAATGCAAGCCAGCCAGTAAACGAAAGGTGTATTTGAATTTTTACAAACATCCCCTTTTTCATAAAAAGCAAAAGAAATGCACAAACTATTATTTACAGTTATAAATTGTACAAGTTATTTAATATATGTGGCTCCAAAGAAAATGATCATTTTTTAGCAGAACCATCTGCTAACTCGAGTCAGTTTGACTTCTGTCAGCCTGCACATGTATTGCATATGCAGTCTTTAAATCATGCAGGTCTCCTAATGGTATGTAGCATCTTTCATTGGCTGTTTGTCTGATATCTACCTGTTCCTAGGGTGATATTTCTTCTCTGGTGAGTGTTGTTCCTGTGGAGAATTCAGGTACAAAGGTAACCGTTATTGCTGATCTGTATGACACAGGGACTCCCCGATCTGTGAATGCTCATACTTAGGAACACAATCCCACACATGGTTTTAATTTTATGGATACGACACAGACATTTTCTGTACTTATGAACAGCTGCTTCACATTGTCCTGCATTGTGTTCCAACTTGCGAATAAATCGACTTGCAAACGGCTCCAGACAGGAACTTGTTCTCAATCAGGGCGCTGCCTGTGTTTAGAAAACTTCTGCTTTCATTCAGCTTCAGTTGCTAGTAAAGATCTACACACCTTTTTGTCTTAGCAAATTGGGGTAGGGGGCGTGGCTTCAATTGTAGCAGCATGGGTGAAGGAAATTGAATGTTCTCCCCTACTCCCATCTCCCTTTCCATTCACCAACCTCCCTCAACCCATCTCTCTCTTCCATCAACCCATCTTACCCCTTACTTCACCAATCCAAGTCACTAGAGTCATGCAACATAGACACAGACCCTTCAGCCCAACTAGTCCATGCTGATCAAGTTCCCAAACCAAACTCGGCAGGACTCTCTGCATTAAAAAAGTGTCCTTTTTAAATCTTTCTCCTCACACCATAAAAATGTTGCCCCTAATTTTGAACTCCCCCAGCCTAGGGAAAAGACCTTTTGCTATTTACCTTTATCTGTGCCCCTCACAATTTTATAAACCTCTATAAGGTCACCCACAATCTCCTAAGCACCAGTGAAAGAAGTCCTAACCTATCCAGCCTCTCCTTATAACTCAAATCCTCCAGTTCCGGCAATATCCTGGTAAATCTTCGCTGAAGCCTGTCCAATTTGGTAACATCTTTCCTACAGCAGGGTGAACAGAGCTATACATAGTACTCTAGAAGAGGCCTCATCAACGTCTTGTACAACATCAACATGACATTCCGACTCCTAGACTCGAAGGTCAGAGCAATGAAGGCAAGTGTGTTAAACACCTTCTTAACTGCCCTGTCTATCTGTGACACAAATTTCAAAGAATTATGTACCTGAACCCCTAGGTCTCTCTATTCTGCAACACTACCCAGGGCCCTGCCATTAATTGTATAAGTCCTGCCTTATCCTTTTTACCAAAATGCAATACCTCACATTTATCCAAATTTAACTCCAGCTGTCACTCCTTGGCCCATTGACCCAATTGATCAAGACCTCTTCGCAATCTTAGATAACCTTCTTCACTGTCCACTATACAACCAATTTTGGTGTCATCTGCAACCTTACTAACCATGTCTCCTAAATTCTCATCCAAATTGTTTATATAAACGACAAATAAAAGTGGACCCAGTACTGATCCCCGTGCAACACTGCTGGTCTCAGGCCTCCAGTCCGATAAACAACCCTCCTCCACCACCCACTATATCCCACCATGGATCCAATTTTGTATCCAATTGGCAAGCTCTCCCTGAATCCCATGTGATCTAATGTTACTAATTAGTCTACCATGTGGAACCTTATCAAAGGCTTTACTAAAGTCCATATGAACAACGTCTACCGCTCTGCCCTCATCAGACTTTTTGGTTACTTCCTTAAAAGTTTGTGAGACACTATTTTCCTCGCACAAAGCCATGCTCACTTTCCTTAATCAGACCTTGCCTTTCCAAATGCATGTAAATCCTAACTTTCAGAAAGACCTCCAACAACTTACCCGCCACCAATGTTAGACTCGAGAGTCTATGGTTCCCAGGCTTCTCTTTACAGCCTTTCTTAAATAAACGCACAGCGTTAGCCACCCTCCAGTCCTCTGGCACCTCACCCGTGGTTATAGATGATACAAATATCTCTGCTAGGGGCCTCGCAATTTCTTCCCTAACTTCCCACAACGTCCTGGGAATCGCTTGGTCAGGTCCTGGAGATTTATCCACCTTTATGTTTTCTAAGACCTCCAGCACTTACTCTTCTGTAATTTGAACTGTTTTCAAAATATCTCCCTCGATCAACTTCCTCCCCATCTCCCTGTGACCCTTTGCCAGCTTCCTTGTCTCTAACTCTGTCAACTCACCATCTTTCTCCTGGGGCAGATGATAAAAAGGTGGAAGAGTGCATACGGGCTCTAACACAGCTGGAATTAGGCCTTATGGAGCAGTTGATTTGTCTGCCCCCTCCAGTAGAAAAAAATCATTTTAAAGGGAACTTGCAGCTGTCAGAAATCTGTCTGAGCCGCACAGAAGCCATTGCTCCTTCGGAGGTTAAAACCTTAGCTGTTTTTTTGATCCACAGTATGTGAAGCCCTATTGTAGGAGTTGTGACTCTCTTATACTTCCTTATTTTCCAACCCTTGTATCTTGTCTGTCAGGCTGGACTTGAGGGCAGCTGGAACTGTCCCTGGCAGACACTAATTTAGTCTCAGATGATATTCAACAGTAAGATACCCAAAAACCATCTAAGATCTGTTTGGCAGTCAATGGCATGGTGGACTGCAAAATGCTGCAAATCTCTTCTGGCACATTTAACATTGCTAGTCCAATCTCAAAGCTTGCATTAATTGAGAAAAGTGGATTACATTTAATGTCTAATAACTGGAACTCCAGATCTTCGTCCTTCCAATTGCATTGGGCTCTTTGGATGAATATCATTCCATCATCTAACCTGAACACTTGCCTTCAAGGGTTTTAGGTTTTGGTCAGCATCTTGGTTGAACTCACACAGATCTGTGAAATTCATGATGTTATTCTGTCTCTGTCTTCTTTCATTTCCACTACGGCGGCAGGGATTGCAAAATTTGCAGATATTTTGACTCACCTACTAATTTGAAGTTCCAGATTATTGCTTTCTAAAACTAGTTTCTTAACGGGCTGGTTCTCCTACAACTCTGAAAATCCACACGTTTTCAACTGCTGTACTCTGACACCAGTTCCAAGTGATTTGTGTTTAATGGCCTCCCCAGATTGCACACAAATTAACCTACAGTAGAGTAGAGGTCACATAATAACAACAAGCCAGCCAGCAGACTAAGGGTGCAATTGCATTTCTCCAAACACTTTTTCTGACTTCAAAATCTCCCCTCCCCTGACCGCGTCCCAAAACCAGCCCAGCTCGTCCCCGCCTCCCTAACCTGTCTTTCCTCCCACCTATCCACTCCTCCCACCTCAAGTCCCACCCCCATCTCCTACCTACTAGCCTCATCCCGCCTCCTTGACCTGTCCGTCCTCCCTGGACTGACCTATCCCCTCCCTAACTCCCCATCTACACTCACCTTTACTGGCTCCAACCCCACCTCTGTCTCCTCTCCACCTATCTTCTCCTTTATCCATCTTCTATCAGCCTCCCCCTCTCCCTATTTATTTCAGAATCCCCTTCCCCTCCCCCATTTCTGAAGAAGGGTCTAGACCCGAAACGTCAGCTTTCCTGCTCCTCTGATGCTGCTTGGCCTCCTGTGTTCATCCAGCTCTACACCTTGTTATCTCAGATTCTCCAGAATCGGCAGTTCCTACTATCTCTGACTTTAATGCTGCTCATTTCACTCCCAGATCTGGTTTTCTTCTCCTATTTGAACATTAGCAGCAGACCTTACTGTAGTGACAGTGAGCTAAATTATCAGAATTGCTGTGCATATGGAACACCATTGCACACACTCGCTTAAGGGTGACTTAACTCAAATTGGGCCCAAATTGTCTGATCTGACAAAGAGTTTGCCCTATTTTGTTTAACTTACCCTTGGAATAAATACCTCCTCTGTCAAAGCATTACACTAAATCCTCATGTTCATGATTGAAGGGACCTTGAGTTGTTAATGCAAAAGACAAAGTCTCAACTACTTGTACTTTAGGAAATTGTAGGTAAAATGAGTTATTGATTTTCACTGGATTCTTGTCAAATTCTTATGCAAAATAAAAACCTCATTTGTAAAAACAAACTGTGATGCAGAGCAAACTATTGGTAGCAATTTTTCAGAAGAAACTGAGTTTCTGTATCTAAGTTAACTTATTCTCTTAGCAGCCAAGATGCAATATATTTCATTTGGAAATAGGAAATGAAATCTTTTAATTCACATTCAGCATGTTTAATGAGGGATTTTTATGTTTTTTTTTTTACAGACATTCATGCTGTAGCTGGTGAACTTGCAGAAATAAATAATCGAGATATAAATAAAATCAGGTTTACATTGCTTGAAGAATATCTGTGTCCACCTACAAAACCAGATTTGGTAAGTCTACACAATCAGTGGGGTTGTCAAAGATCAGCAAATATAATCACTGGGCATCTTGTTCAAAGCAAGCTTCTCTCCGTAGAGTCATAGGGATCTACAGTACAGAAAATGGCCATCTGGACAATTGAGTCTGTGCCAATCAAAAAGACCCACCTAACTATTCTGAGATAACAAGGTGTAGAGCTGGATGAACACAGCAGGCCAAGCAGCAGCAGAGGAGCAGGAAGGCTGACGTTTGGGGCCTAGACCCTTCTTCAGAAATTTCTGAATGTAGACATTGTCATGGTTGGGGCCAAATTGGGAAGGCCTGAATGTGGACTGTAGTCCATTGGGGATGATCTGGTTCCGTAGGCAGGTACTAAGAAAGGTGATGTGGCTGTAGTACCTGGTTTGCTTCAGGAAGTGGTCGAGCAGTTTCAAGGCCGAAGAGATTACGAGAGAGTTGCAGTGGGAGAGAGATCCACTTAGATTTTTCCGGAGGGAGGAGGGTAACTTCTTCACGGTAGGCATCCTTAGAAGAGGCTTCGCAGTGGGGTTAAAATTGTTTCAGAGATAGTAGGAACTGCAGATGCTGGAGAATCTGAGATAACAAGGTGTAGAGCTGGATGAACACAGCAGGCCAAGCAGCATCAGAGGAGCAGGAAGGCTGACGTTTCGGGCCTAGACCCTCCTTCAGAAATTCTGATCTCATTTTGAAGCATTTGGCTCATAGCCTTGTAATCACAAGTGTTCATCTGAATTCTTCTTTAATGTTATGAGGGTTTCTGCCTCCACTACCCACCACCCTCTAAGTGAAAACAATTTTCCGCACATTCCCTCTAAACCACTTGCCCTTTACTTTAAATCAATGCCCCTGGTCATCCTTGCTCCACCAAGAGGAAATGTTCTTTCCTGTCTGTACCTGTCATTATTTTATACATCTCAATCAACTGAGCTTGTTCTGAGCAGGATTTCCTCTAACTCATCTGGTTCTTAGCAGGCTTTCTTCCAACTCAGCTAAATAAAACAAGAACTTCTCTGAACCGGTTGTTGTTCAGAAACACCCCCAACTGGATCTACAGTAGAGCAAACAGTTATCACAAGTCATGATTCTTGGAAGCCTTGTCAAAAAAATCTCTCATGTTTGCAGTGAACCTTCAATTAGCTCTTTTAACCAAACCACTCCAGGCATGCAAACTTGAAATAAATTTATTTTCCACAATCCTTCAAAAAATGACACATTTTGTTGACGTATTTTGAGTTGCACTTGTAGAGTCATAGAGTCATACAGCATGGAAACAGACCCTTTGGTCCAATTCGTCCACGCTGACCAGGTTTCCCAAACTAACCTAGTCCCATTTGCCTGCATTTGGCATATATCCCTCTAAACCTTTCCTATTCATGTACCTGTTCAAATGTCTTTGAAATTCTGTAACAGTACCTGTATTTACCACTTCCTCTGGCAGCTCGTTCCATATACACACCACCCTATGTGTGAAAAGTTGCTATTCTGTGCAAAAGTTGACATTATCTATGCCCCTAATGATTTTATAAACCTCCTTAAGGTCACCCCTCAACCTCCTAAGCTCCAGGGGAAAAAAGTCCCAGCCTATCCAGCCTCTCCTTATTGCTCAAGCCCTCCAGTCTCAGTAACATGTAACAGTCTCAGTAGCAGGGCGATCAGAATTGTACGCAAAAGGCATCATGCCAACCTGGAATCATTTCTGTGATCTGAAAAATGTCTCTATATCCCCCTTACAATTGAATCCCCTACCACTATAGTCCTGCTGTTCCTCTTCCCACGCTCTTGTAAAGCAAACTCACTCATGGTGCCATTAAGTTGCATACCCTTGCTTTCCCCTGTACAGTCATGTACCCCAACAGTGTTCATAATGGTTTTGTAGCAGGTAAATTGATTTTTTTAGTGATTCATTGGTTGTTGAATAAATATTGGCCAGAGGTCTGCGGAGAATTTCCCTACTCTTCATTCAAAATAATGCCCTTTTACATCCCTTGTTTTCCTTAAATATTCCTCAGCTGACAAGCCTAGGTGGAAAGCCAAGAACATTAGTTCAGGTTTGTTTGAAAGGGTTACACCACCAGGCCAGGTTGCATTGACTTGGCTTGGCTTGTCTGTACTTTTAATCAACCTGTTCAGACATGTTATGACACATCTCCAGAGTAGGTAGGGGTTGAACCTTGATCTTCAGGCCCAGAGATTAGGTCACTACCACTGCTGTATGCGAGCCCTTAGACTTGGTTTATATTCTGTCAAGTATAGAAGACTGAGGTGGTCATCAGATTGAGGTCATTAAGATGTTTAAATGAGTCAGTACGGTAGATAGAGAGAATCCAATTCCTCTGTAAAAGTCATACAGAATCCAAAACGCTAACTCTGCCTTCTCTTATTGGGACAATTTGCAAGATTTACCAAAGTGAAAGGAGAGCAACATTGACACTATATGAAAGGAGAGCAATGGTAAGTGGACTCTGGTTGAAGCATTGTTCTGGAGAATGCAGCAATTAATGATGGGTGAAAATTAATTGCAGGGTTTTGTTTAATTTTAAACCAGGCAAGCTGAATTTGATTAATCAAGGTATTGTCCTGAGAAATGATCCAAAGAATGGTTGTCACCTATTTTATTGAGTTGAAACAAGCGCAGTGTGTGTAAATGTCCTTTCTCTCTGCAAAAAACAGGGCTCTGTGTATTTGTATATGTAACTTCCAGCATACTGCGAGCCTGACTGACCATCCTAAATTGTTTTTCAGTGTAACTCTTCATCCACTTTGTATAATTTAGAAAATATTACCCAATTGCAGAATCCCAACTAATGTATACAGTGTCGAGAGTTTTGCAAGCACATAGTGGTTGGATATGAGTAGTACCTTGAACAGCCGAAGATGCATGCTATTTGATTATGGTCTTTGAGATGTATGGCCTATATACAGAGCATCACGCTGACACTGAAATTCATATACTGCATACTCATTTGTGTCATAGGCAGAGCGTCTTTTTGGCTTGATGAAAACATCCTGTTAGTGGTGAACAGCACTTACAGTCATAGAGATGTACAGCTCAGAAACAGACCTATTGGTCTAACTTGCCTCTGCTAACCAGATGTCCTAACCTGATCTAGTCCCATTTGCCAGTATTCGGCCCATATCCCTCTAAACCCTTCCTATTCATGTACCCATCCAGATGCCTTTTTAAATGTTGAAATTGTACCACCTTCCACCACCTCCTCTGGCAGCTCATTTCATACAATCAACACCCTCTGTGTGAAAAAATTACCCCTTAGGTTCCTTTTAAATTTTTCCTCTCTCACCTAAACCTATGCTATCTAGATTTTGACTCCTCCAACCCCAGGGAAAAGACCTTGCCTATTTACCCTATCCATGCCCCTCATGATTTTATCAACCTGTATAAGGATACCCCTCTGCCTCCAACGTTCCAGGGAAAATAGCCCCAGCCTATTTCTGCCTCTCCCAATAGATCAAACCTTCCAACCCTGGCGACATCCTTGTAAATCGTTTCTGAATCCTTTCAAGTTTCACAACATCTTTCGTATAGCAGGGAGAGCAGACGTGAATACAGTATTCCAAAAGCGGCCTAACCAATGTCCTGTACAGCTCAATATGACTTCCCAACTCCTATACTCAATGTGCTGACCAATAAAGGCAAGTGTACCGAATGCCTTCTTCACTACCCTGTCTACCTGCGGCTGAATTTTCAAGCAACTATGAACTTGCATCCGGACAGCATGCTTTCAATGTGCATCTGTAGAAGTTGGTGAAGGACCTTATGGACATGCCAAATTTCCTGAGCTGCCTGAGGAAGAAGAGTCATTGTTGTGCCTTCTTGACTGTCACATCTATTTGGGAAGTCCAGGATAGGTTGTTGGTTATTGTCACTCTGAGGAACTTGATGCTCTTCATTCTCCCAGCATCATTTCCATTGATGTAGATGGGGGTGTGTTCTCCTTTATTTCTGAAGTCAGTGATCAGTTCTTTAGTTTTGCTGATGTTGAGAGACAGATTGTTTTCGTTGTGCCATGTCACCAAGCCCTCTATCTCCTTTCTGTAGTTTGACTCATTGTTGTTGGATATCTGTCCCATTACGGTGGTGTCATCAGCGAACTTGTAGATGGTGTTCAGTTGGAATTTGGCAACACAGTTGTAGGTGTAAGGGCTGTACAGTAGGGGGCTGAGGACGCATCCTTGATGGGCTCCAGTGTTGAGTGTTACTGGGGAGGATGTGCAGTTACCTATCTTCACTGATTGCGACCTGTGGGTCAGAAAGCTGAGAATCCAGTTGCAGAGGACAGAACCAAGACCAAGGTCACCGAATTTTGAGATCAGTTCTAGAGGGGACAATGGTGTTGAAGGTGGAGCTGTAGTCAACGAGCAGGAGTCTGACTTAGGTGTCCTTGATGTCCAGGGATGAATGCAGAGTTAGGGATATGGCATCCTCTGTGGATCTGTTATGTCGGTAGGCAAATTGTAGGGGATTGACGTGGGCTGGGAGACTGGAGTTGATATGGGCCATAGCACTTCATGGTTATTGAGGTCAGAGTTTCATGAGTTTCTGAATATATTGTGAGAAATTATCTTATCAGGATAGCCATTATTGCACAGGATGGCTTTGATACACCCAACTTCAGCATCAGGTGAACAAGTGATTCAGGACTTACTTGTGAATTTGCTGATAAGGTCTGTTTTGTAGCACGAGGAACTGAAGGAATCCCAACATACACCTTGACCAGTAGAGATACATTTGTAGTATACAGTTGTGGAGAACTCCCCTATCCAATTTCCCAAATAGGAAATCAAAGAAAGGGAGCTAATTTGACAACTTCATTTCAAAGGTGAATTTGAGTGCAAACCTAGCATCTCCATTTCAGAAATATGCAAAATTAAGTCTTCACAGTGATATTAAATACAAATCATCTTCACAAGTGCTTAAACTTTGATTCCAGCTTTAGATTGGATCTTAAGATCTTTAAATTTAGTATACGCTATTCACTAATACTATGAATAGGCAACAAACTTGTTTTAGAATTGTAGTTGTTACCATAGATTAACACAAACATTTTGGTTATTATCCTTTAGTAACTAATTTATTTTATTGAGATGTATCATTTAATTAATGAAAATATATCATTTTCAATTTTAGAATTCCAAGTCACAGGACAACTTCAATAACATACAAGAAGATCCAGCACTGATGAGGTGAATTTTATCTATTCATTGTTAATATATCTGCAGAGTGTTATAGCAAGTTCACATATCTTAGATATTGACTTGTTTTGATTTGGATTTCACATTTCCATTGTCATTTTATTTTTATATGGTTCCTTAAAAATGATATTAGGCATAAATGCAATGAATAGTAGCCTCTTAATTTCTTATATTTTTTAACAAATCTTCTGCACAGTCCATTAATTGAGCAATATAAATGCCTTTGAAGCATCCGAATCTGACAGTGACATTGTGATTAGCTTTAAAAAGTTGGTATTATAGGAGATTAACCATGATCCAGTTTAAACCAAATCATTACACCAACAATAACAACTGGCTGACTTAGTCCACTGGAATCCTTGTGGCTTCATGCATCTCTGGGAGATCATTTAACTCTTAAATAAACTCAAAAAGGGAACTTTGTATATGTTTGTTTCTTTAGAAACATCAAATTAAAGAATGACTATCTTTGTCTCCCCTCTCCGAAGGCATTGAGTCCATACTGGGTTATTGTTATGTTATAGAATCCTACAAACCGAAGAAATCGATTTGGAGCATCATACCTGCATAAGCCTTTAGGAGAACTGTTTGATTCGTCTTGCTCCCTGCAGTTTCCCCATAATCTTGTATTTATTTCTAATAAGACAGACCTGGCAAGCATTTCAATTGGGAAGGGTGGTTGTAGCATCACTTGCACCTGATCTTGTTCTCTTTCTATGGTTGTACATGTAGTAATTGAATAATGTTCAGGAGCAGGGTATATTCTCTTGTCCTCACTAATTCAAGGGGATCAAGGCAAGTTGTATTACTTATTTGTCCCAGCTACTCAGCAGAAAGCAGTAATTGAATTTGAGACTTACTGTTTGTGTGTGGAGTTGTGTTATATATTTTCTGCATTAATTAAGTGTGCCTTGGAGAAGCTAAACCATTAGAGATAAGTAGTGATATTTGTGCTATTTTTACAGTGTTTCCAAACTTGAGGTGGATAAGTGAGTGAACCCCTGCAGAAGCAAAGGGAGTTATCCTTCTCACAAGTGGTTTGTTGCTCTTGCTTTCAGCAATTAGCAAAAGAAATTTTTTTTAAAAATTGGCCTTTATTGTCTCTGCAACCACAGGAG